TTGTTTTTTAAAACATGCATTGTTAGGATTCTAATTATCTCATGTGTGTTTGTTTAGTTAGATACACAGAGGAAACATTTCTGATCCAGATGTGACAATCTCAGCACTGTCATTTACCTTTCAAGGATCACAGAATTTTTGCTTTTAACACATTCCCTCGAGTACCTACATGTTTTCATTATAAACCAGTAGTTGAGAAAACATGTCAGATGCTAAATTCAAAATCCACCATGCAGGCAACATGGGGAAATGTAACAACTGTTTTGGAAGAAAATGTCTTGAAGTCAACTTACATAAAATCTTAACTGGTTTGCCAATGAATCTTAATTAGCATTTATGTTACAACTACAAATGCTAAACAATTTTTGCTTAACTACTATAGGACTGAAATTATTTTTGTCAAATATGTGTAAAATCTTAAGCTAAAATGTCTACGTTCTACAACATAAAAGTTTAGTGATACAAATGTAGAATTCGTAATGCCAATTTAAGTTATGGAACAAAAACTTTCAAGTCTGGAGCACTTAAACCCTTTTAATACTTAATACATTACATGAAATCTGATAAAGAATATGCAGCACTCAAGGGAATAATTTCTTATATGAATATTCAATAACTTGTATGTCCAAGTAGACTGAAAACTTCGAAATTTTTCTAGAGGTTCACATTCAGTAGAGTAAAGGAAATGAAAGTTTTAGAATACTTGTGTAAAGATTAAAATAACTCAAATTATTTTCTCAGTAAACTCTTCCTCATCTTCATCGATCATTATTCTAGAATATAAAGAAAATTATTTATATAACACAAACAGTACAATCAATGAAAGGCTGTATGCAAAGATAGATAACACAAGACAACTGAGCTTATAATGCATAACACCTAAAATATTTAATCATAGTTCTTATATGACTACACACTTAATTTATTTCTACTTAATAAAATAGTAAAAATGCCATTTTCTACTTTTTTAAGTGTATATTTGCAAACATTTTCTCTCGCAGAATTCTTCAACTAAATAATATGCACTTTCAATTAAAGAACTAATGTATTTATGGATGTTCATTTTTCTACATTTATTTATTTAATAAAGGCCAAATTTGGTTAGGCTAGCTTGGAAACAAAAATTATGATGTTATTTTGAACTCGACAACCCCTTTTAATTTGCAAACAGGTAATTATATGAAAATAGTAGAATAGACTAAAAAGCAGTTGGAAAACAATAAATATTTCATGTAAGAATTATTAATTAGTGTTATAACCACTAAAAACAGAAGTATGCACATGAATGTATAATCATCTAAAGAATGTCAGTCTTCACTTCATTACTAAAATGGTCATTTAAGAATGTATCTTAATGAGTATCACAAATATATCTTTTGATTAAACATGAAAAATAAGGGATAGTTTGATTTCTAATAAAAATATCAAAATATAAGACCAATTTCATTTTGCATATTAATTATGAGAAAACAATTAAAATATTTACACGTTCCAAAATCATATCAATATAATTCAAAATATTCTTAGTGGAAATGAAACCATTAATATACACAGACAATCTCTAACAGATTACTGGTATTATTAAAATGTGAGTGCTGAGGGCTAGTTGCTATCATTTGTATTTTGTTGGGTAAAGTGTAAAGTAAGCAGGAAGTTTGAATCTACTTCCTTAACCATGATGAATAAATACCATCACGAAAACATTAAAAGTCTGACTTTTGGAGAGTGCTTGGGAATCCACGAGCTACATAGGTTTTAATATAAGGAACTCTCTCATCAGTAAAGTGGAACTTTAGAAAAAGTTATATTTTGGAATATCATAGCAAAGCTTGCACTGTATGCAAAGTTTACCATCACAGCAATTCTTCATAGAAAAAATTCTTAAATCTAAGATTGTCAATCTGCCGTTTTTTGAGTATTGTAGTCACTTAGAAATAGCAGTTAACAATGAAAAAAACCTCTTAAAAGCATTGACTTTTATACTTCATTCTAACAAAACAATTCGCTATTTACTTATGTTACAGTTAATCTCCATGCTAAATCTGAAAGTATGCACTCAATAACAACTATAATAAAAGAATGTTGAGATAATGACACAAGGTGATAAAAGCAAGGAAAATGCTCATTTGAGGATATAATCTCTTTCACATACATAAGCTTTAAGTAGAAATGAAGTAGGACAAATGCTCCACAAAAAGTTACCCAGAGAATTCCTATAGAACAAAAACTTATCAAAAAGTGGTGGAAAGCCTTCCTAGAACTCCAATCCCTGGGGACAAAGGCTTTCTAATATGAGATACAAAGCTCTATAAAATTATGTGCAAATAAATTTTGTAGGCAAGAGACCCTCACCATCTTTAACTAATTGATGAAAATTTAGAGATGAATCATAAGACTTAGTTTTGTTGGTGGAGGTGTTTGGTTGGTTGGTAAGGCAGAAATAATGCTGTGTTCAGCAAACCCATTTATTTATCCTCCTAAACACACAACCAAATTATATTCCCAAACCTCACCTGCAATTAGGTTTGGCCATGTGACTGACTTTGGGACAATGGAATAAGGTATTATCTTTCAAAATCCTCAACAAGCATTCTTTCCTTTCTACCCAATGCAGAGTATTCAAGCGCAGGACTTCAGGGATCTAGAAGATGGCAGAGCCACTGCTGGGTCTCTCAATGCCTGAATGGAACTGAATGGGACAAAGACCCATCCTCATTCTCAACTTGATCCACACTGGAATGTAACGTAAAGGAATAATAAATCTTGATAGTATTAAGTCACTGAGACTTGGAAAAAGCTAAAAGATTATTCATTCATTAATTTACCTACTCCTCAAGTATTATGAATAATAAAGAATTATAGAGGATAAAAGTAAATTTTGGTACTTCAGAGGAAGGCAAAGGTGGTAATTGGACTGGATCTAAATACTGGAGTAGGAATAGTTTTTAGAAACTATATGATCTCAAGTATTCTGCAATTGGTCCCTGTGAAAGTCTTGCTTCCCTAATCATATGCTGAGTTTATGTCATCTTATTATGATAATATTATTGTTACTCTTAGTGATAAATGCTTAAAGCATTAGCTAACCATTAATTTCTTACCATACTCTGGGCATAGCGCTAGGCACTTTATGTGAATTTTCTCATTTAACTTCAAAGTGACTCTATGAGAGAGTTTTGACAATATACTCATTTTACAGAGCAAATTGATGTCTATAAAAGTTAAGATGACCTCACAGCTACTAAGTGGTGAATTTGGAACTCAAAACGTCTTTTTGACTCCGTGGCCATCCTATTAATATACAATATTGCATTGAAGGCAATATTTGGTCCCAACCAATTATCGTTTGAGCAGTGATAATTTACTTCAATTACTCTCCTACCCACAAACACAATCATACAGTTGTATGTTCATTTTGTATGTCACAGGAAAGGCTGACAGAAATGGTTGAGCTTAGCAAATATATTATAATTCTGGATCTGCCTCTCATAGCGGAAACCTTACACCCTGATTTTATGAACATGCCAAAAACTGATCCATCTACCAAAGGTGGATGCATAGTAAACACTAATGTTTCAACCCAGAAATCAAATTATTCATTTATGATGAATAATTTAAATGAAAAAAACTTCACTGAAGTCCTGGAATATAATAATTACTCACCTAAAGGTAACTACCATTATAAATGATGTATTTGAAATTCATATGATTAGTATACAGTCATGCACCGCATAACAACGTTTTGGTCAATGATGGACCACATATAAGATGGTGGTCCCATAAGATTAGTACTATAGAGCCTAGACATGTAGTAGTCTATACCATCTAGGTTTGTGTAAGTACACCCTATGATGTTCTCACAAGGATGAAATTGCATAACAATGCATCTCTCAGAATGTATCTCTGTTGTCAAGCAATGCAAGATTGTATATTCTAGGAACAGAGATACTTTGGAAGCCAAATAATAATCTAAATATTGCTTGAAAAACATGGATTCAGAATGAAGATGTTTGTATATCATCAATGATATAGCATCAAATTTAAATAGCTTGATATTCATTCGCAGTAGAAATGGCCTTGTCATTGGGACTGAAATCCAATGGAACTAAGTCCACTAGCTCATCTTGAACCATATTTAGATAGGCTTTGTCAACATTGCTTTTGACTTTCCTTTATCTGCTTTCGCAGCTAAATTCTTTCTGTGGATATGTCAAAGCTTCAATTAATTTATGTCTAACCTTACTGCACAAGAATTTATCTGTTCTTTTAAGATAACTTTGCATATCCTTGTGCTCATCTACTTTGTGTTGATCTTGAAATTTAACAATCCAAAGGCAATCTCATCTTGCACCCTTTATTTCAAATTTCTGGCCAATATCTCTCTCATTATAATCTATAAGAACAAAAAAACAATGACAAGAATTGAAAGAATTAATTCAAGGATAAGATAATGCTCAATGAAATATCCCGCCTGTTTATGAGAAATGAGGGAAAAATCATAGCAGCTGTTCTCTTTTTCTTCCGCTTAGGGCAGAAGCAGTATATCCACAGGATTCAGTTAATCATCTTAACCCACATCTTCATTGCTGGGGTAAAAATCTCCAAACTCCTCCTACAAGAGGCACCATGTTTCTCTTTATGATGGTACTAAATCCCCTTCTAAGCTAGAACTGTTGCTCTGGAAGGAGGTGTGGCCCAGAATAAATCAAAGCTAGCATACAATATCTGGGAAAGATAGTGCTATGCTAGTTGCACCCCATCAATGAAAGACTAAGCTTGTCCAAGTTTTATGCTGCCATACTGCCATGCATTTCAAGAGCAAAGTCTAGTGCCACAGTCCTGGTGTTCCTTTTTCCGAGGTAAATGCTAAGAGGAGCACTTTCTCACAAACAAGTGTGTGGGAGATACTAAATGTGATAATAAGGCTAATTAACCCACCAGGGTGCTTCAAGACTGGAATGATTCAGTCAGACAGAAACAAGTGATTTTTATTCCTTTATTTTTATTTCTTCTTTATCTGTGGGGTCAGAGGGTGGGAAGAGGATCAAGAATTCAGATATGGGTCAGATCTGGATGAACTCAGGAACCTAATTAGTAGTTTAGAGTCTGGAGGATAGTATAGAGAGAAGTATTCCAAAAACAAAAACAAAAAAGAATGCTGAAGCAACTTTCTCTGGAGATGCATCATGCGCAGTCAGAGAGTTCCCAGACACCTTTCCGCCTGGATCTAGCTACTTTTCTTCGAGTTGGGGAACTCATATTTGGAAACCTCTGATTGCTAACAGCACACCGATGAGTAGATATCCTTTGATGCAAAGTAGACGATTATGCCATCAACCTTCATTGTACTGACCAATGAGAGATCTCTGAAAATAACAACATGAAAAGGACAAGAACATAGATGATCAGTACAGAAAAGGCAAAACTTAATAATAAGAAAGAAATAGACAAAGATAAAATTATAAAAGCAAAAAAAATTTAAACTATATTAATACTGTGTTTGTAATTTTAAAAATTGTTGTGGTGTTACAGTGTGTTACCTAATTTTATTTTTATTAGAACTAACTTAATCAATAAGAAAATGAGGGAAATTCCACTAAAGTAAGAATTGTCTATGGTGTAACTGTAAAACTTTGGTAAGCTCTGGCTACTCAAGCTATTTCAATAAAGCAAAAAATAACACATGTGACAACTTGTTGTGTATAATTGACCATATACAAAGTGACCCTCCTCAAAAATGATGAGTAAAGAAATTAATTTAAAAGAAAAAATCCCAAAAGACTGATTTTTGAAAAAAAAGTTGTTACAGATCCTAAAATTCTAATTATCTTACTCTATTCAATTCTCAGCAACTGTAAAAGATAAGACATAGCACACCAAATTCACCAACTATCATGGTTTCACCTGATTCTGCTTAATAACAGTTTCCTATAGTCAATAACAAGCTGAACCATATTAATGGAGAGAAATTAGAAGCGACATAAAATTCCAAGAGGAAAAATATATATTCAAAAAAAAAACTAAAGAAATATCTAATAAAACACCCAAAATAGGAGATAATTACTATCTGGCAGAACTAATAAATGGAACAAAAAAAGTCAAAGCTGAATGAAAGCTTTATTATATCTCCACTACTGCTGAATAATAGCTTAAGGTACTTGTCCAAAAACTGGTTTTATGGACAATGACTTTCGGTTTGTGGTATTTTCAAACCCTATAGTTAGTTTAATAGTATGTGCGTAATAAATAAATAACGGACCATTAAATTTTTCCTAAGATTCTTAAAGATTGCTTTCAATAAAGAATCTCAAACTCGATTATAATGGTAAAGGAAACTTCCATTTTTGAGAATAACCTATTAGCCCTATGTGTAGTTATATTCTGAATGGCAGGATTTGACTTTCACGTCCTAAAAAGTTATTATCGTGAGGCTCTACTTTAGTCACATAATTGCAAATTTGAACCAGATTTTTTTCCTAAAACTGGGAAATCACAAGGAATAAAGTACTAGCCATACTTACAATATTTTCTTTAAGTTTATGGGAAACATGGTGCCTACAGTTCATTATTTGAGTTGGGCACTGGGTTTGTCTTGTCTATAACAATTAAATGGGGGGTAATACACAACAATGAAGGCCCATTCAAGCTTTTAAATTTTTCAATCAGAAAAAGAAAATGCTCAGATCCTGTGAATTACCTGTCCTGTTTCATAGGTAGCACCTGTATTGCTGCCACACATCTGTGGAAGCACAATATCAGCCAACTGTTAATCAAGGATCACTTCCCTTCAAAGTGACTGATGATCCACTGTTAAAACAGCTTACAAAAATAACTTCTCCTTCGAAAGGTGCTTCAGGGTTTTCAGACACATCTCACCATTCCTGCTAGCTTAATGCATGTTTGAAAGCTAATTTCTCATGTTTGAAAGTTAATATTTAAAGAAGAAATGGCTTCAGAACAAATTTTAAATGATCCATTACATTTTAGAAATAAAATATTATTGGCGTTATTTTCATCTCGATTACAAGGAATAATAATGTCCAAGATTGGCTTTTAAAACTGTTAATGAGCCCTGGCAATGTGAAAAAGATATGGATTAGGTAGATGTAATGAGATATGATTAAAGGGTGCAGGCACTGAAGGGTGTTGGAGAAATTCTTTTCAGAAAGAGTATAATTAGTGTCTCATAAAAGTACTTAGTAGATAAGATTTTTGAAGAAGAAAGGTTAAGATAAACACACACTTTATGACAAACCTGCTTAATTTTTCCCCTTTGGTTTTCTTACATACTCAATATTATGTTGAAGTTTCATACATAAATAATGTTTGTCGAATACTTGATGCAATTCTACCAGACAATTAGAGTGTTTTAATTGCCAGAGACGGAGAGCAGAAAACGTGTTGAAACATCTTATTCCATTTTCAGTGTACATTTCTTTGTTGATTTATGTAATGTAGCTAATAATATGCAACCTACCCCAGTTTTAAACAAACAAATGAACTTCTAAAAAGCAAGCTTTCTATAAGTTGCTAAGCAACTCCAAAGGCACATTTTATTAATTTAATAAATAACATTTAGATGACAAATCCTTAAGGAAGATTTCTAACGCTGTTTTATAAAAAGGAGAAAATCCAAGCGGCTACCCTTCCGATTTTCCTGTTTCTAAGGTCTCAGGGTTAGGCAGAGACACTGCCATTTTCAGAGGTACATTTGACTCAGTAAATGAATAAAACATTTCTTCAGTTGAAATGGTTACTATAATAGAAGTTAAGTTGTGGGACTCACTGTGTAGTTCTCCAGAGTTAGAGCTCGTGCTTCATTTCTATAACTGAAGGTTTCTCAATCATGGCAATGTGGACATGTTGGGCCAGATAATTTGTCATTATGGGGGGCTCTCCTGCCCATTGTAAGATGTTTAGCAATGTCTATCCCTGACCTCTACTTACTAGACGCCAGTAGTAAGGGGCCAGTAGTGGCCCCAAAGTTGTTGCAACTACAAATGTCTCTAGACATTACCAAAGGTGCCCCTGGAAGGGGAAAGAGGGGCCAAAATAACACCCAGTTGAGAACCACTGGAACTGAATAATAGGTAAATATGCGAAATTAGAAAGATATCTTGAGCTTAACTGGTGACGAAGATATCTTGAGGTTAGTCACCATCAGTCAAGATCAAACATCTCCTAGCACCACCAACAATGAATAACAAAGGGGTAGTACTGATTCCAGTGGTACTGTGGTTCTTGTCTCATTCAAGGCTCATTACTGATTTTATTATCTCAATGTAATTTCCACTGTATAAAAATTGGGGAGAAAGGGCCTATGATGGCTCTGTCTACAGCTAGTCTCTAGTAATATCCCATTCCAGAACCACACCAAAATCTTTTCTCCTACTCCTTCTCCCTCAATTTTCAGTATACTCAGTTGCTGACTAGGATCACTTTAAATATGAATCTCAATTTAACCATGCCATCCTCTGCTTATAGGGCCACCATAGGTCCCTATCCCCTCTACTATCAAATATAAACTCCTCTGCATGGTCTTTAAGGTTTCCTACAAACTACCACCAAACTCCATCTCATCAAACATCTTTCTCATTCTCCATTTATGCCACCTTTCCCCCCTCAAACACAAACAGCTTGTATATTCCAACCTCCCTATGTGACAGATAGAAAACAAATTCATTTCCTCCATGAAAGTTTTTCTAACTAATCCTTTATTTCTTATCAGTATCATATTTCTGTTAAAATAATGACATTACTGAAAATTAATATGTGAAGCGATTGTTTACTGAACGGTTTCAATATGCGAGACACTGAATAGACACTTAGTAGCTATTCCTATCAACTTACATTTACATTACTTATGCCCAACTAGATTGTAAGTTCCCAGAGGATAAGAACAGGTCTTATTTGTGTCCCTCTGATGCTTCTTAATAATGATGCTAATAAATATACTTTAAATTTGATTAGCAATTATGGCCTTTCAAATTACTTTCATAGTTATTAGCTTATTGGCTATATATTTTCACTATTTCACAGTCAATGAAAGTGGGACATTAAATGCTCTAGGGACTAGTCAACGTGTTACACAATTGGTGCTTGGTGGAATATGAATTTAATGTATGTTGACTGAATCCAGTCTCACAACTACAAAATTTCTGCCCTGGTTACAAAAAGTTCTTATGGCACTTAAAAACAAATGTTATTGTAAGGAAGAACAACACTTGGATGATGCAGAAGACAGAAGATATAAGTGAATTAAGATGAGCAAGGGTTAAACTATAAAATAGCAGGAAAGCAAAAGAGAAAAATCTAAGTTTCTGCCTCAAATTGGCTACAAGAGATTAACCTCATAAGGCCTTGACCTCTTCACAGAAAGTAAAACTTTAAAAAGAAATCAAAACGGAAAGGAAAAGTCACAGAAGGGCTGATAAACCCCCAAATTCTAAAAATCACAGCATCTTACTGCACACAGATAAAGAAGGTTAAGAAAATATTTTCCACAACTCTAAGAGATTTCCTGTTTTGGGGAGTCCCTAAAAAACATCAAAATGTCTGTAAAACCTATTTATTTATCAATCTCTCAACTGACTTCAACAAAACACCAGTACTCAGAGGTCAGCTGATTTCTGGAGATACCCACTAACCCTAAGCACCATGTGCTCAGAGAAGTAACATCATTTATTCAGTAATTCTTTCAACATTTATTGCATGACTACTAAGCGCAGACACTGTCCTAGGCCCTGGGAAAAAACAAAGAGGCCTAAATTTCAGTGGCTGCTGTGAATCGGGGCAGAGAATTCAGAAAGGGGCAGGTAATCTGAAAAGACAAAAAAAAAAAAAAATTATCTTCAATGGGCTTTTTCTCTCAACCTCTGACCCTCCTCCACTCCACTCCCCGTATCCCCCAACCCTCCACCCTGCGACGAAATTCAAAATAAACAGACATGAAGGGGACAGGTAAAGATCCCACCTGCCACTGACTCCAGCTCTCAAGGGTATCCCTCAGCCACGTGTCTGGGCGGAAGTGCAGGAGCTCACGGGCGGAAGTGCTAGCGGTAGGGGAGGGTCAGAGGCCCCGTCCCCCCGTGGACCGGAAGTGCAGGACCTGGAGTGCGCGGGAGAGGTGGCCCTGGGCAGGGCTTGATTCTGGAGTCGAGGCCTCAGGAGGCCTCGCAGGGGTCTGTCTGACCGCAAGGCCCCGTCGCACCATAGCAGGCTTTCTGCAAAATAGGGATGTTTGAGCTTTTCCAAAGAGGTTCCTAAACGTGGCGGTACCCTTGCCGGGAGGGCTGCAGGGAGGGGTCGGCGCTCCTCTCCCTGCCTTGTCCCAGGCGGATCTGCCCCCTCACCCCCGTGCCGGGAGGGGACCGGACACGTCGGCCGAGGCACGCGCGGGGCGGGGGACGGGGGCGGTGCTGACCCCCGGCGTTGGCCGAGCGGCGCCCCCTTCCCGAAGGAGGGAGACTGCGGTGGGAGGCGGGCCGGGGCCCGGCGGACGGGACGTTAGAAGGCGGGCCTCGGGGGCGCCGACCGTGTATCTGAGGAAGGGGCTTGGTTCTCGCCGCGCTCCTTCCCGGGGCCCGGCCGGGGCGGCGGCGGCGGGGACGCTGCAGAGGACCGGCTGCGGCCTCTGCGCCGCGCGGGGCTCGGCCGGCGCTGTGGGAGCGGCTGACGGAGGCCACCACGGCGCTCTTTTCAAAGTAAATGGTTAAGAAGAAGGTTGGCTCCGGGATTTGTATCGGGCTATAGAAAAGAAGATAGAAACTCGAGTCCGTCTCGGGTTGTCTTCTCCCGCCCCCGAATGAACTCTGAAGCCCTCAGCCTGGCCTGCCAGTGCGGAGCCGGAGGACAGCGAGCACCTCTCTTTTCCTCTCTCTCTCTCTCTCCCCTTCCTCCCTCGCCCCCGCCCCTGCCTTCATCCCACACACTTCATTGGCCCATCTCAGGAAGCCCTTACATATTCCACAAAACACAAAACGACCCTAGCGCTCCACTTCACTAGTTCTCAGCATTACGCGACTGACTTGCATCAGAATAGGAGAGCTCGAGAGTTCCTTGCCGGTCTTAATATAATTAAAATGCACCGGCCCTGTTTGTTCCCAACAGCAGGAGAGGAAAAGTGTTTGGACTCCGCGCTGCTGGTCAGTAGACCTTCATAACATGGTTTATAAGATCACTTTTAAGCTCTGTTCAACCTAGTCGTCACTGAGAATTCGGTTGTCAGAGGAAATCGCTTTCGAGATGATTTTTCATCACATTAAACGTGTAACTCTTCTCACTCTGTCTTTGATCGTCCGAAGATGGGATGTAAACTCTACATTAATTTCCAAAGGTCTAGTGACCCAGAGGAGCCCTAACTCCCCTCTCTGCACTGCGTGTCCCCTACCATCCTGGGAATGGGGAGAAACCCTGCGATCAGTGGCGGGAGAACTGAGGACCCCAATAACTTCTGATGGTTGAAAGGCGGAGGAGGGATGGAGGAGAGAAATGGAAAGGGAAAAAAAAATTTTTGTGTTCATTTACACATTTCCTGTGCAAAACAAAAAAGTCCCACCATCAGCAAAAGAAGTCTCTTCCTCCAAAATAGCAGCCAAAGAGGGAAAATTAGAATATGCATAAATTCCTTCATTTTCATTTTCACAGAACACGATTTCCGGCAGATTTGTATTTAAACTGCTCGATTAATCCCAATTTCTGAACAGCATTTTACTTAGCATCTTTCCAAAACTCACCTAAAGAGTATTGCTCTCCTCCCACAACCCTGTTTTGAAGGCCCCCTCTTCTCTAGTCTCCAACTGCCACTGAGAATTTCATTGATAAGACTGTAACTTTATTTTTCCTGTCCATTGTTTTCTTTTCAAAACTGGACTGATGCATTAGACCACACTTTAATACAAGCTGGCTGCTGTCTGTGAAGCCATAACTGCAAATGAGAGTCTAGTGGAAAGGATACGTTTTTGAAATGTGCACCTAAAAGAGAATAAACATGATAGGAGCAATAGACTTTTGCAGCTCCTCTCATGGCATGGAATCCTTTCCTGTTCTACACAGGTCATATCCTGTCACCATTAGCAATAGTTAGGATGCTTGGACATGTCCACCCCCCAAATCTCCCCCCTTCTCCTCCCCATTTTTAAGGAGCATGATAGACAATCACTCTTCAAAAGTGTATTACTCTTCATAAATATTCGAAAAGTGTCAGTCCATTAAATTCCCCCACAGCCCATTTTTAAAATATTTGCTTTGCCACTTGTGCAACAGATCTGTCTGTATCTGCCTTGAAAAATTCTTTGTTGGAAAAAATGTTAGTGAGCATCATTTGAAACCATTCCTTTTCTGAAATATCATCTCACGACTTGGGCTTTTCTCTCCTGTCTCTGAAACTGTATATATTTCTCTTATTTAACAGTAGGATGTGAATGTTTAAAGAATGAAATTAGTACATCTTGGTTTACTGAAAATGTGTATAGATCTTCATTCCACTCTCCCCTAAATTCCTCACTCTTGCACACCCCAAGACAGAAAGAAACCTATATTTGCTTCACAATACAATCTGAGCAGAATGTATGGGTTCTGGCTTTCCTTCAGTTTTTACAGATCACACATGAACCCTAATTATTGGTGGTTAAAAGTTATAAATGCTAATATTTATCTAGTTCTTAGTTTCTATAAAAAATAAACGTACATATTTGAACTACATGCATCATGGTGTATATAATATATATGCATAAGCATTTAAATGTCTGGTTTATGTTGGCTAAAGATTTTTTAAGAGATCGGGATATAAAAGAATATTAATTTTGTTAAATGGGTGCATAGACTCTGAGTGCATGGGAATGTCTGCATGGCTTTGCTACTTGGTGAAACAACTACTTTTATTGTTTCTTACTTTCTGTCAGATATTCCCATTACAAAAGTATTAAGTTGGTTTCTTTCAGTTAGACATCTCTCCAATAACTCAGAGGTTCTCAGTTATATACAATTAAAACCAAAGTGTGTGAAAATAAATTCTTAAAAGCCATACTTTGGGGGTGTATATAAAAGGATTGAGGGCCACTTTTACTGGCAATGTTGATTTGTTTTAATGTTCTTATTGAAACAAATGATAGTTGTCTCTTAAAGGAACAGGTCAAACGAATAAGAAACAATCACAATAACTGAGAATATTTTCCTTAAAATATTTTCTTAATTAGAATTGGATTTTATATGGAAAGCTTCAGTTTGATTTCAAGTTGCAGAGCTGTACTTCCATACAAGTTGAAGTGAACTTAGTAGTTATTGGTTATTATTAGTGCACGGAGAAAGATATGTACACAGCGATATACAGTTGCAGCCAAAGCTGCCTTTCTCCCGCTGCACGCTGAGCATCACCTCAGTGAATTGATCCCTAGAAACGAAAGCTCCTTGTTCTTTGCTGATCTTTAGTGAAATAATATTCTCATGAACTGGAACATTTTTATACTTTTTTAAATGAAAAGACTAGACAGAAATGAAAATGGATGGTTCAGCCTCCCTCCTGTGAAACGTGAAGAGAAGGATCCACGGTACTACAAGCAGGGAAGTTGCGTCCTTCTTTCCCCCTCCCCTCTTTCTTCCTTCAACTACTGTTTGGTTTAGTTACAGACTGTGTGTATATGTGAGTTTGAAGACAATATCTAAAGAAAAAAGTTTTCTAGTGGACAAAACTGGATATTAATATGTATGCCTTTCTCTTTGTAATTTGTTGCTTTTTTAACAAGGCATGCATATCTCGCTTTCTCATTAGTTTTCAGGGCTAAATTAATTTGCAGGAAAACAGAACAAAGCAAAAACACTTAATGGTTACCCTTCCTTGCTCCCAAACTGTCCTTCTTCTATAGCTAAGGTCCTTCCGCATTTGGCCCTAGCTGCTGGGCTGCCAAAGAATTTCCATCTCAGTCTCTGTTCTCCTCTCCCATAACCACTCTTTCTCTCCTAACCAGCTTTCCTTCCCCTCCACAAATGAAGGCAATTATCAAACAACCTGCTTTAACCCCAACATCTGACTGACAAACATTGAGTCTAATTCCCTCCCCACCAGATTTTTACTTTCCTTCATTTCCTTTTGCTTGACGTGGGATGCTGGGGGAGTGGGTGTTACACAGAGGGCTCAGGAGATGGATAGAACGTTGGGCTGAGAGAAGAGAGAGATTCCCGTAGGTACAGACTCACTGGCAGATTCTTTTCAACGCAGTCTCAGGAACTCATGACTGTTCTCGCACCTAGAACAATAAACCTTGGAAGGTGTACAATTGACAAAAGCACCTCTCCCTCCTCCTGAGGAGATGGGTTTAGCTTTACTAGCTAGACCACCACTGGTTACTAACATCTTTAACCTGGTCTCCTCCCTGCACTTCTACTCCCTTAACTTTATTGTGCCCTTTCCATCTCTCCATCCCTAAAGAAATCAAGAGTTCATCCAGGGGGACCTAATTCCTAATTCTTCTGTCTTGCTCTATGAGCTGAGTTCCTCAGTGCCAGAACTCTCTTTGGACTACTCACAGGAACCTCAGTTATTTTGCCCTTTTCAAACTCCTCAGCTCTGTGAACATGATTCCCAAATATGACAGCTTGCCCATTCACCAGCAGAGCTCCATCCAGAAGGCACCGGGTCCTTCTACCCAAGAATCGCTTCACGTCTGCCTCTGCTCCCAGTCTTCCTCCCTAGTTGATTTACTTGGGAGTGGTGTCCAAGGGGGACATGCCCATTGCAGTGAAGAGGAGAGAGTACGAAAGTATTCAGTGCCATTAACAAGACCTACCATATCAGACCAAAGGAGTCTCTATTAGAACACTTGAGTTGGGCTGGAACGGATCATCCATCTAACCAGTGAAACAAGAAATCAGAGGAATGCCCGACTGCAGCCATGAAAGACAAATCTCAGATTGAAATGGATTCCGTCTTCATCCTGTTGACCAGAGAAATTATTTTAAAAATTGTTTCTGCTATTATTGTTTGCATTATTATTATTAACATTTATTTTTGTCATTATTGCTGCAGTTTTTGTTATTTTATTTTTGTTGTTGTTGCAGCTATTACACTATTCAACAGAAGTTTAGGAAGATTAGTCAGATTAATTAGCTTATTGGTAATTTAAAGCTGAAAACTAGTAATTAAGCCAAAAACTAAAAATGATCAGGGAATGATTCATACCAATGTAGGATTTGGGAGGAAGAGAATCTAAATTTTGAATAAAAATTTGGCAACTGTGAAATAAACAGGACTTAGGGATCAGAAATATGATAATTGCAATATTCTTAGTCACTCAACCTTCCCCCCCCCTCCAAATTCAGCTAAGATCATTCTGTGATTTGCTTGATATAGGGAAAAAATTATATTTGTTTTTTGTTTACAGAGAACAAAGCCCCCATCCTTGTTCTTCATGTCATTTGCGTTTGCACGTGGATTCCCTCTGCTTAGGACCATCCAAAGATCTAAGATCACTCCCCTTCAAGTTTGCCTCCTTCATCTCTTTGCTCTTGTTATGCACCTTACTGAAGAGGGTGCAGCATATAAGACAGGTATACAATTTCAGCCCTCTCCACAGACAGATTCCGTGGAATATAAATTCAATAATGCAATTCTCCCCACAACAAGCTCTCTGCTCTCTTTCAAATATAATTAATGTTTTGATAGTGTAGTTCTTTAACTACATATATATACACACAAACAGACGCACCCTCTAGCTTTGCTGTTTGTGCATCTAAAACAGAAATGGATGTGGCTCTTTCAGTGACTCCCAAAATTCCTCAACTCAGTCAGCCCACAGAGAAGAAATCTGTTTAGGTAATAACTGCACAGTCTGTTGTGTGCCCAAAAACATTTAAAACAATAAAAAATGCAAGCCGTTACTTTTTGATAGTCATTTTTTGTCAAATTTTCTAGAAAATAAAGGATATTCTGAATTGATATTCTGATGCAGACATTCGCTAGATAACAGTCAGAATCAACAAAAGCACTATCCTAAACTACTCGTTGTCTTTTCCAAGTTTTGATGATGGAAACTGAATTTCAATACCTTCCATTTTATCCAATTGGGGCTGAACTGATATAGATGTATAAAAACTAGCAACTATAATAACAAAACTACAACCACTCCCATAAGAAATTGCCTACTCTGTCACACAACTCAGTTTTATGTTTTAGGTAGACTAATTCATTTAATTACAATCAGTTGTGAAATAGGTGGTCAGAAAGGCAGACAGATATGTAGATGACAATATGGCCAGTAGGAGTTAAGTGAGCAAATACTGATGACCTTCCATATTCAAGTGTACATATCCCTAACATTTCATTTCTGCAAGCTGATTACAATTATAAGAGGATAAATAACCTCTCAGACTATAGGACATGATAGGTATTCAATCTTTAATAAAGAAAAATACATAATCTATAATCTGATGAAAATATAAACCTTAATCTCCCTATATTGTTATTGAGTTGAAGAAGCTAGTTATTAGGAACTTACATACTGATTTCCAAGCATTTGGCCATTTTGTTTGATTTGTGAATGTATATGAGGTGCTGGCAGGGGAAATATTTTATACATTTCTCCTGGCCACAAAATTTTTAGAGGGAATATGCAAAAGAAATTAAAAAAAAATCTTTTGACGTTTTACTTTCTTACTCTTCATGTGGTATTTGATTTTAGGAATTGTGAAAGATGATAAAAGAATGAAAAGGTAAAGAAGCACATGTGGTTGATTCCAAGTAGCTCTTTTCACTGGGTGGGAAAGAAACAAAAATATTTCCCCAATGCAGTTGTGCAAAAAAAAGAAGAGAGAGTGTGATTCGTGAAGAGCTCAAAACTTGTGCTTTTTGTTATTGTTTTAGATGGTGGCCCATCAGGGTTCCTTTGCCATTACTTTCCTCCAAACTGTTTTCCTTGAAAGCCTCAATGTGGGAACTACTTATCCGTTCATTCTCTCACAAGCTAACATATAAACAGCAAATATTTTAAATTTTCAATAGAAGAAGTCCCTACATGTTCAGAGATTCAATCTTAGTACAGAACCAAATTACCAACCCCAGTTGTCTAGACACAGTTAACTTGATATTGCCTCTAGTGAGCTATAAAAAATGTATACACAAAGGTAAGATTTTTACAATATTGATCAGCAATGATGTGTGAGCTATCGAAAACAAATCCTCCCTCAGACTTTTTATATTTGTGCTGATTTCTTCCTCATTTTCCCTTTCTTTAGATTTGTTTTTGAGGCAGTGACGCGACTATGTCTCTGCTTTTCAAATGAGGTTTTGTTCGGCTCAGATTAATATTAAAGAAGATCACATACACGGTTGGAAAATATTGTTATTTTTCTTTAATGGGGAAAATTGGACTCCCGCGTGTCAGATCTGTGGTTTTCCGAAGGGCAGTGGAAATGGTACTGACATCACTTTGCACTTAAACAATCGGATTTGGTCAGGGTACAAGTTGTTTGTTTAACCCGACAGCTCCGTGCACCCCGTCGCACGCTTTGCACACTCATTAAAACGATTATTCACGACCTGTCGAGTGTTTTCGGGTTCATTCACAGGAAAGGCTTGGAGCAAGCGAGAGCAATTCAAGTCAACACTGTCCACTACCCCGGTGCACGTGAGGACGAGCTGGTGCGTGCGTAAAAAGACGGCGAGGGGGGTGGTGGTGAGCACGACTTAGCTATATGTCCTGTTCATCCATGCTCTGGAATCTCAATCTCCAAAGAATGCCAAGAGTGCTTGGTCCTAAAGGGCTACGTCTCTGTGTTAACTTCAAGGGCTTGGCACAGGACAGAAAAATAAAATAAACCAAATAAACTCAAAGTGCTCCCTCTGCTCCTCCTTTCAACCTTCTGCAAAGCTTGAGGTCCGGGGCTCGCCCACCTTCTGACTGCAGCCGCCGGACTGCGAGGCTCCACCTCTCACAGCGCGGATGCTGAGGATAAGTACTTTCAGGAAAACCCGCCAGAGTGAAGAGATAATTCCTATTGCATCTCCCAAGGCCCGTTCGTTCTTGGGAAACGGTTAATTCGATTAACCGAAATTCGGTTAATAGTCAGTTAAATTTTCTTTTATATTCCTCACAAATACTGGAGGGGATGGGGGGCGCAAGAGAGGAAGAATGGGACTGTTAACCGTATTTGGTAGATGTAGTCCAAATTATTAGCAAGGATAGATTCACCCTCCAAACTGCAAGAAAAGTCCCATAAAAAGAGGAGTAAATAACCCTTGATAAATTAGGCCACTTTTTTTTTTCCCATTTCCGAGTCATCTTTCAACATTTTGTAATGACAATAAGAGAAGCACGAGGACAATGCGTCTCAATCTCCCGCTATCACCCTGTACATATAAGACACACCCCGTGGTCTTCAGCTGTCATATTTGTTCCAATGAGGCCTGATACATAACATTCATATGTGAGCTATTCGTTCAAGTGAGACGCCTATCTTCATAAGGTACAATTGTACCTATACACTAAATAATAGAATAGATGAGTGTATATATGCATTTAATTCCTACTGAAGAACTCTGGAATATCCTGTTCAGCATAAGTACCCCTGGCATAATTTAAGAGTTAATAGACGTTTTAAAACAACACCATTTCTATGTTCAAATCCCGCTGCTCCTTGATTTTTCATCTACAGAATTAGTAAACCCAGTGGCCGCCTTCTTGTTATGAGAGTAACCTAGTCAAGCCAACGGAAAAAGACAACAAGGCATATTCATCCGTTTCATTCCATTATATCTGACATCATAAAATCATCTGTTTTTCTATTTTATTGAAACACATCAATACAACATATGAAGAGAAGAATGATGTTTTCAAGTAGCATGAGGTTTTAATCAGAAACAGGTTCCTAATTGCTAAAACGCAAGTGCGAATAAGTAATTTCACAAACTCTTTGGGTTGCCATCATTCGCTATCAGGTTTACTTAAAATTGATCTGTCAAGTGTGTTTCCTGTATAAGCTCTTTCATTAAAACCAACCTGTGATAATAATCAAGAGGCAGATGCTGAAATATGTAAGTAAATAACTGAAAGCCTCTGCATAAATAAACACAAATCAATGCAGTAATAGACAACACTATCAATGTAGGAATGATCGATTTTAGTCTTCCAACCTGCAATCAGAGCTCACAATGTATAATTAAAAGTATATTTTTCAACTCCACTGATAGTACTACTACTAGAAAAATAAATAAATAAATAAACAAGCCCTGCTGCCACTTCTACCAATTCTCCTTTATTCCATCGAGACTATTTTTGATGGGGTGGGAGGAGTACTCTACTTTTTCTAAGAAAGCTTTCCCAAACTTTAAAACTACATCATTAATTATAAAAATTATAAAAGTATCAAATAATAAAATTACCACCTTATTCCTGCTCTGAATTTTTCATCCTTCCTCATAGTCTCTAATTATTCATTCAGCACATTTTAGTAGGAAAAACACACAATAGTGCTCATTATTTTTAAAGATTTTTTTCAATGACTGTAATACCTTTAAGTTTAATGATTCCTTGGGCCTTTCCTTTAAAACAAATGAGAAAAATATCATTTCCTCAATATACCCTGGAAGCTCTCAGGCCTATGCCTGCATACGCAAGCAATCTGAAACAAGGAAGGGGGGGAGGAAGCATCTGCGTTATTCCAAAATTGTTTCATATAATGATTGCAAAACAAACAAGTGTCTGACTCAAAGAAATAAATATACTTTGGATTTCTAGAAATTCACATCTAAAACAATGTTTCAGATTTTGCTTAAAGTTAAATTTCCTTTTGGAGAATATTTATCCCCGGAGGGCAGAATTAATTTAGATTAGCGAGCACCACTGTATGATGAGTTTGAGTATTTAGGTTCTGTAGAGTAATGAAAATACGGTCGCTGTTCATATTTTTTCTTAATCAACAAAGATGTTTATTTACATTCGTCTCTGAATTAGTGTGGTCCTTCTGAAGCACAGGCCTTTAAAAGAATTTCTTATTTATGAAATTCAGCTTCTTAGAAAGTGATTTCTCTTACATAATATCACCAGCTCAAAATACCGATTTTGATTATCTTTATATTATTATGTGACCTAGCATTCTCTTTGACTCCTCTCCTCCCCATCCAGGGAAAAAAATTCGGGGGCAACCGGACCCAAACGGAAAATATCATCAGTTATTGTTTAGGGCTAATTTAACAGATAATTTAACTTCAAACAACAATGATCAGGTCATTAAATTTCAGAGCAGTGAGAAAATGAAAGAACTGAGAGACAACTCTCCCTAACCCCACTACGGTTTTCGGTCTTCCTGCTCAATCGACGGAATCAACAACGCCTTGCCCTACAGACGTGGAGGAAGATATGTTTGCACTTTAAACGCCTTCTGATTCAAAAAATGAGACAGTAAACGGGGAAGAAAAGGGAGAATAAAAGTGAAGACGACGACCCCAAATTGAGGAGTGCTAGCCCTGTAGGAAAATTCAACCTAAGGCGAAAATGGATATCCAAAAATGTCTGGCAGCTAAACACTTTTTGATTCGGACACGAATCTCCAAATCTCTAAACGTGCAATGTGCTTTCCCCGCCCCGCACAGCTTTTCCGCAAGGCCGAAGACCAGGGAGAGGATTAGGCACCAGACCACGAAAGGGACATGGGGCATTTTTTTCTCCCCTCTTACCCCCACAAACATAACTTTGAGAGTTATTAATTGTTGTGTCTTTTCTGATCAGAACAATTTCGAAATTTCTGCCTACCTCAAGTTTTGATAGACGGCCAGGTGAGGATGGTGTTGAAGCATAGAAATTGGGTCTTACAGGGGGTGGGGGAGTGCAGTCCGAAGCGGACGAGCTCTCTTCTGCATCCCCCTTTCCTTCCCATCGTCTTTCCAAGGCTGAAGATCACAGCCTTAGAATTTTCCTCACACGCGGGATGCTCTGCCCACCCAAGCCCCTGCCTCCCGCTCCCCAGCCCAGGGCCACCCTTAGCGCTAAGGGAATTCCTACCCCAAGGCTACCTCTTTTCCCTGAGAACCCTTCACCTTGGACCACAGGCTTGAGTAGAGAAGGAAAATGGGGCAGAAAGCGAAATGGAAGGGGAGTAGGGAGTGGAAAGAAGAAAAGATGTCTATTGCAGAGAAAACAGTTTTATCAAACCAGCAGATAAGCGCTGAGATCTGAAACCGTACCAGGTAAACAAAAAGAAACAACTTTCCCAGGGAAAGGGGGGCGCGGGGGACACAAGAATAAGAAGAAAGGAAAAAGGTGGGGAAGCGCGCCAGCCAAGGTTCTGGAGTCAATTTTCCTGGCATCAGCCAGTGTGAGCTACCAAACTCAGAGCTCTGCTTGTCCTGGGCAAGAGCGCCCTCACCTTGCTGCTCCCTGCGCAGCGCCCGGCTTCCCTGAGCCGGAATGGGCCGCCGCGGCCCGAGAGCGCCCCTGCTCCCGGCCACCGCGCCGCCAGCGCCGCCCCGACTCGACAGCCTCAATCACTTTGCTACAGGATTCCAAAACCGGAGAAAACAACGCCGCCGGGGCCCTGCCGCAATGACTTCAAGTCCCGCCATCGCGCCCCTCTCCAACTTCACCCAGGAGTCCCTGAGGCGCCGGGCAGGCTCGTACGAGACCGCGGCGAGGGCCCCAAATTCGCTTCGGCAGGAGCCAGCCCCCGTCTGGCGCGCTCGCAGCCACTCTCGGGACAGCCAGGCTCTCGAGCTTACACCGCCGGCTCCTAAGTGTGCATTAAGAATCAATTATTTCCCTGAGATTCCCAAAGCCGGGAACTGGGATATTCCCAGCAGGGACAAAGTCAAGCCCAGAACGGTGCTCATTTCCCTAGTCCTTCGAACAGGCGGAAGAGATGCCTCCCACCCGCCCCGCGCCGCGCTCTACCTGGAGCAGGTCCCCAAACCCCGCGGGGCCCTCGCTGGACCCAGGCCCAGGAGCTGGGGGCGGAGGGCCAGCTCTGGGGGAAGATGGGGATGTTAGTGTGAAAATAGGGGGAGGAGGGGCGTTCTACCAAGGGTAAAAAAATAGAAGAAAAGAAAAAAGAACTTAAGAATGAGGCAAGTCCTTGGCTCTCGAGCAAAAACCTTTGTCTCAAATAGAGCAAATACCTACGGGTTTGCACGTTAAGAAAGGCCCGTTAGCGTATTCTTGAAGCTGCGGTAAGACTCAGAAATCATATTTCCAAGAAATGAATTACTTTGCACTTTGGGACCTATTTCAGTCTCCCAGTACCCCTTCTCCATATAAATTCGTCTCATTTTCTCTTCATCCCCCTTTGCCATATCTACATCCTCTTTACTTAGGGATCAGCTGTGACTTTCTGCCGACGTAGAAAAATCATTCATTCTTTCAGCTACTTCTGTTGATATAGCGCGCCTGCTAAGGAAATTTTTCCAAAAAACAGAGAAGCACTTTGGTCCGGACCTCAAAGTCGCGGTTCAAGCCTCAGTCAAAAGCAGTCAGGCGTAGCCCGCCTCCCCTCCAAAAAGCACTTTCACTTACCGATCTTGGGGTAAGAGGGCTCCCAGTCCTTAAGTCTTTTTCTCGGCATCCTTCGGACAACCGCAGGCAGAGTCTTGGGTGGAGGGAAAAAACAGATAGAAATCGGAAGGGAGAAAAGAGACTTAAAACATAACACTACGTCATAGATTCCCCAGAGCCACCTTGGCCTACGTCCTCAGGACAAGGTCCCGGCGAACTGACCGCTGCAGTGGAGTAAAGGTCGGTTTGGGGGCCGAAAACTAAGAGGTGGATTATTTTAACTGCTGGCGGTTGGGGGGAGGGGAGGCCCTGAAAGGAGGGTAGGGAAGGGGGAATGATGGGGATGAGAAAAGAAAGCCTTAAAAAAAAAAAAAAAAGGCACGCAAAAGAAAATCGAGAATGAAGTACAGTGAAACCGCCTTTGGACTCTTACAGGTAGGTAGATCTTAGGAAGAACGCAGGCGTGTGTATGCGCGAAAGGAGAATCTAGATGACCCCTATTCTTTCCCTATCTCTAGGATCTGGCCTCAAGTAGAAAAAAAAAAGAGGGAAGAATTTTAATTCAAGTTTCACCTACCCTGCTTGTTGGAATGGCTGCACAGATTTTCATGTTGGCGAGCTCCATCTGTCTAGCAGAAGCCGGAGTGGTGTTGGGGCCAGGTTATCTGGTGAAGTGGGAATGTACAGGAACCCCGCCCTCTAGGCACAGTTACACAACCCCAGCACCCGTCTCAGCCAGCTCTAAAACCTCTAATGATCTTCACCTTCATCCTTTGTTAGCCTATTTCTCCAACAGGCATCTAGTCCCCAACACAACCAGCCGCTGTAGCTATTCATGAAATTAATTTCTCAAAAACAAAATTATATCAATGCATGCAAATTCCTCAACCATGTTGTAGAAAACACACTTTCTAAAAACCACATTTATATATTTAGAGTACTAAATATATTCGATTTATCCTCCTATTTGGGTGAAATATCCACCAACCTAAATATACATAATTAAATCAATACACTACAAGACTCATTTTTTGCCTCTCAATCCTTGATTTTATGCAAGTCATAGAAACCACATGAAATCTTCCATGACCATAAAGATATTTGGATTAAATCTTGTTAGTTCTGGACTTCATATTTGCTGGATTTCCAATTTTGTAACAAGTTGAAGAAACATATTTGGAAGAATTCTTTCTCTGCTCTTGTTTAAATTATTTTCTCAACGTTTTATCTATTAATAATTTGTATTAACTTTATACCAGACAGATTCAAGTAAAATACCTCAAACTTGGAAATAAACTGTAATTTGGGATTTCCAGTTTTAAGTCGTGATCACTTTCAGTTCCAAAATCTCAAAAAGAGCAACCTTCATCTCATTAAAAACGGTTATAAGTATGAAAGAAGGAAAGCTTCAAAAAGTTTTTAAGTGTTTTTCTGGCATGAGCTAATTTTAACTTGCACAGGTTGGTGACAGCACATATCAACACATTACAACCAATTTGTTGCAAAAAAAAAAAAAAGAATCTATTAAATGCCCTGCTAGACTGTCATGTGTTTTTGAAGAAGGTAATTTGGATGATAGGGACAGATTGAGATAAACGAAATGTTCATATTAGGCTTCAGGTGGCCTTCACAAAGTTCTCTCTCTCTGTATATCCCCGCCTAATATCTACTGTGCATATCAAACAAGCTAGTCTTACTTCTAATAACATCCATTATATACGTAACATGGACATGTTTCCAAGTAGGACTTGCACTCCACTTCCGGTCGTTAGTTTCCAGGAATTTAAAGAAGTCCATTTTACTCTTGACCTCAAAGTATGAAGTCTGCCATTGAAATTCTATTTCTCCATCATGCAAGTGAACACATCACAAATAAGTACAGTTATTTAATATAACCAGAAAAAAAATACTCATGGGAAATCTTTCTTCTATATCTATATCCCTTTATCTCAATTTAAGAATTCAACTTTCTTTTTAACTTTTGATAGGCAAAAGACTATATTTCTTGTTCTGCACCGGTACATTCTCATTCCACAAATAAAATCCATGATAAAAGCAAACAATACATCATCACCTTTTCCAGTCTAAACACATGCCTTTCTTTGAGCTGTTTTGGTTCACAAATGTTTAATGGGGATTTCCTTTGCCTAACTTCATTCATTTGGACTCTATTACTATTTTTAATATTAGCCATCAATTTGGCTTCTAAAACAATTTCTTTGTGGAATTTTCTTTCATGCTTCATTCTGAAGAACTGTTAAATTTCAAGAAACTTGGACCTCTAGTGAAACTGCTCACATACTAAGAAAATAAAATCATGTCCAGTCTACCTAAAGGAGATAATTAAACTAGCTGTCTTGGTCTATTTTGGTCCATTCCCCATTTGTGTATATTTGCTTCCAGCTCTTTTAATTTTCCTGGCCCTTATCTTTCCGTCTGTCTTAGATCTCTCTCTCTCTCCCTCTCTCTTTCATTCATTCATTCTTTCTTTTGGCAGTGAGGGATTTTTTTTTTTTCCATTTAAAGATCCTCTTTCTCTTTCCTCTCTGTCTCTTTCTCTATCTCTCCATTCCACAACCCATCCATTTCCATGTTCCAATATTAACTATTCTGTATTTCTATTTCACATCTATTTGAGTCAGCTTGCTTCTCTCCTTGGCTTTTTTTTTTTTTTTTTTCCCTGAGAAACTCTCTAAGTGTTTGCCGATAACATCTTGGGGACAGATTATTTTTCATTGGGCCCATTGTAAGAAGTAGCTAGCTTATTGCATTACTGCAGAACACATTTCAGACTATACAATTGTAACAAATGAACAACTTGTCCTCTGCGGACTCACCACAGGATCCAATTAGTTACTAAACCTTTTACTTAGATTTTCTAATTATTTTCTGGAGTCATAGCAATTGGGCTGCTGAAACAATTCAAAAAATGTTTTCATTTTGTTTCAAATTTATATATATATGCATATATACACATGCATATGTCTGTTGCAAATTTGAAACAAAATTACGACTATAAGCAAAAGGAACAAATCTCTAGGTTAAATTATACAGAAATATTTAAAAGGGACTCAAATAAATACCTCTATGTTGTAAAAATGAAAGAAAAGAAGAAAGAGGCATTTTACTTCTTCTGAACATCTAGAATTTTAAATTGTTATAATTTAAAAATAAAATATAAACATTGATCTGCAAGTCATTACAACAGGTGATCACTTCAGCAAAATCTATATTGCAACTTCAGCACATCTTTATTAGAACGTTTTCATTGTGGGTAAACAGCCACAAAAATAAATGCTGACTTAGAAAGTATAAATACAAATATTTAAACAAAAATATTTGCAGCATTCATAGCGCAAATTGTACCTGAACTGAAGGGCTCTGTGTGTCTATATATATTACATATGTGTGCATTATATCCACTTCTATCTAACCATATACATATATTTATTTATAATTTGCCAAGTGCTATAAACAAGACACCTGAAACAAAATATATAAAAAGTAAGCATTCTATTAACTGATTTGAAAATAAACACAAGGTAAATAGCTATGCACATAAAATTAAATTATTTCTTTTTGCTGTATATCTACAGAAACTTAAAGATATCAGCTGAAAAGCCTACGTTTTGCTTAAAGCTAGTGTTTTTTAAATAGCTTGCTCCTTGTAAAATTTGATTCCACAATGGAAAATAATACTATTTTCATTTTTAAAGTCTCAGTTCAAATGAAAGGAGCAGTTTAAATTTTAGTTGGCTGAAAAAGCCTTTGAATTCCCTAGAACTTGAAGGGTCTTTTAAAAATTAGCTCCACTTAATAAAAGAGACAAAAGTATCAAGATATATATGAATTTAGCCTATTTTTTATTTCTGTGTGTTCATAGTAAACATTTTTGTAAGTGACAAACACGGGCATATGACCACAGTATCACAATCAAGAAATTTTAAGACAACATTAACAATCACTCAAATTTATGCGGCATTTGCGCAACACAGGTTACATATTTGCAAGGTTTACCTATAAGTACAATAGGTATTAACATTTCACTACATTTAGAAAAAATAAAAGTGACCTGTTAGTGACCACATACATCAAAATATACACAACACAAACTGAAGGCAATCATTAATTTTGTCCCCTTCCAATTCATTTGAATGGGCAGTGCTGCCAACTGAAACAACTTTCCTTTTTTTGTTTTTTGTTTTTTTAATACTTAATATACCAAGTGCATTTTCTAGAACCCAATCTTTGGTCTAAAAGTAAACAAAAGAAAAAAAAAACAGTTTTTTAAAGAAAAGGACAAAACAATAAATGGCCAAAATAATTTCTTGGGCACCTTTACTACGAATGCTTCTTAAATACAAATTACAGCTTAACATTTTAAAACTCTCCCCATAATTTAGGTTGTTCTCAAGGTCTGCGTCCACCATATAGATCCATGATAACTTATAATACTGCACACATGGAAATCTGGCGGCTCTTAGAGACAGACTTGTCAGGTTTGAATGAAATGGCAAAGCAGTCACTATTTAGATACACATTCTACTATAATTTTGACTTCCAAACCTTATATTCTACAATGTATTCTCCCCACATTGCACCTCGCTGACACTCCACACCTTGTTAGAATAATAAACAACCCTAAAGACTGAACAAACGTACAGAAATGGGGGGGGAGGGGGGCTTAATAAAAAATACCTGGACTTATTTTTTAATTATCATTTACAATGCAAATGTGTGTAAAACGTTCACTTACAGTCTGGTCCCAGGGATGTTAATGTATTAAAGGGTTGGAAGAAGACCCCTGATTTTGATGCGTGAAATAATCAGACAGTCCCCCGGACAGTCCCGTCGTGAAGCTTGGCAAAGAGGGTCTTAAAGACTCACAGGGCAGGGTGGAGGGCGCCTGCGGAGACGTGGAGGAGGACGCGGCCCGGGCGCTCATGGACGTGCTGCTCTGCGAAGTCATTGACGGGTGCGGGACGTGGGGGAAAAAGTAACTGGTCTGGCCCGCGAGCAGGTTGACCGAGCAGGGGTTGAGGGAGTAGGTCCCGGAGCAGGGCACCGACAGGCCGCAGGGCACGGAGGCGGCGAGCGCGGCGGCCGTGAGGTGGTGCGTGGCGTACGGGATCTCGCCGTTGACCAGGCGGTCCACGCTCAGGCCGTTGGCCGTGGAGAAGGAGTGGTTGTTGCCCAGCGAGTTCTGAGTCAACACGGAGCTGTAGGGCATGGGGTGGCTGGGGTAGGCCGACGTGGTGCCGTTGTAACTCAAAGTGCTGCTGGCGCGGGGGTGGTGCAGGGACAGGAAGGGCGACATGGGCCAGTAGAGGGAGCCGGCGCGGTCCATGAAGGTGAGGCCGGTGGAGGTGAGGCGCGCCCCGCGCTTGAAGGCCAGCTTGGCCCGCGACGTGGTGGAGCGGCGCCGCAGCTTGCCCGTCGTGCCGCCGATGAACACGTCGTCGCTCGACGGGTCCAGCATCCAGTAGTTGCCCTTGCCCGGGTCGTCGTAGTGGCGCGGCACCTTCACGAAGCACTTGTTGAGGGACAGGTTGTGGCGGATGGAGTTCTGCCAGCCCTGCTTGTTCTCGCGGTAGTACGGGAAGTTCTTCATGATGAACTCGTAGATGCCGTTGAGCGTGAGCCGCTTCTCCGGGCTCTGGCGGATGGCCATCATGATGAGCGCGTTGTAGCTGAACGGCGGCTTCTCGTACTTGCCGTTCTTCTTCTCGCCCTCCTTGCCCCCCTCCCCGTCCTTGCCGCCCTCGCCCGCCCCCTTCTTCTCCTCCCCCCCGGCGCCGGCGCCCTTCTCCTTCTCGTCCGGCCCGACGGGCG